TTTGGTTTGGTTTGGTTTGGTTTGGTTTGGTTTGGTTTGGTTTGGTTTGGTTTGGTTTGGCATCCCCCTGCCCCCAAGTTCCATAGTATCAGTGTTTGGGTTGGTTTCAATAAAAAAAAAAAAAGTTCTAAGTTCTTTCTTCAAGTCAAACCCTTTATTTTATATATTTTTATATAAAATATCCAAGTCTTTGGGGGAATTGTTTATAATTTGATTTCACCTATGTGTTCTGTGCTTTCTTTCAGACTGCTACTAAGAGTATTTTATATAAACTTTCTTTTGCTATGGTGGAGTTAGAACTCAGGGTATCTCCTACTTGGTTGGCAAATCTAAAGCTGAGCTGTATAGCCAGCCCATAGTAATAATGTTAATAATAATGTTATAACCAAACTGCCATTTGCTCCTCAGAGTATGAAAGATTGTTTTCTTTATCCTTTAAATTTAAGAATTTCAGTCATTGGTTAATATCTTCATGTTTGTCTGTGTTTCCTAATCCTGCTGTGGTCTTGGAAGAACTTTTGCTGTTTCAACATTTTTCTACTATCTAACTGCATCATTGAACCTATTGAATGACCTATCTGCATCCTCTCTACTCCCTCTTCTCCCTAATTTTCATTCTGCTCTTCGTGTATATGATATTAACTTTTTAAGATATGAAATTATACAGTATCTGTTTTTCTACATCTGGCTTATCTTACTCAACAGAACATCCTTCAGATCCCACTATTTTATAAAAATGATAAAATTTATTGTTTTTATATGGCTAAGTAGTATTTTTTTTTCATTTTCTTTATCTGTTCATTGATGGATATTTAGGTTTACCACATATTCTTGAACTTGTAAAAAGTGTTTCCGTAAACTTGGGAATGAAAGTATCTTTTTGATATGCAAACTCAAAAAACTGTATAGAAAAAACCAATACAAACATGAAGTAGCTACAAGATGGGAGATAAAATACTTGTTAAAATAAAGTATGAAGATACTTGTTGCAGGGATTCTGTCCCTATTAGGAATTGACGATGCATACCCAATTCCTCAATTCCTAGCAACAAGTTAAAGTTTAATTACACAAAACTTTCACCCAGAAGAACCAGTGAGTTTGTTGGGCTTACTTATAGAACAAGAATGAGGGATTATGGGAACGTGCACAGGTGACTCTAAAGCAGCCAAGGAGAAAGTCTGTGCCCATCATGGCTGCATAGGTGGATCCCCGTCCTCTAGACTTTCCCAGCATTTATACTGTAGCACCTCCTAGAAACCATGAGGCCTCCTGCAGTTGGGGTAGAGTTAAATACATCTTGTTAAAAGGGCAATCTGGATATCCTTGTGATAATATTTTGCAAACAGGCTCAGCTAGTCTTATAAAGACGACAGGTGTTTATTTCAGAGAAACTGAAAGAACTCACTCATTACAAGACAGCAAGCAATACAATTAAAACATAAATTAAAGATATGAGTAGATGTTTCTCAAAAGAAGACTTTCAAATGACCCCACAGATAATTTTTTTTTAAAAAAAATGACCAATCTCACTAACCACTGGAAATGTATAAATTAAATCCCCAACGATTCATTCATCCATTTTGAATAACTGTTAGGAAAAAAAGAAAATAACAAATGATCATGGATTGCCATTACAGAAAACACTATGGAGATTCCTATGAAAATTAAAAATATATTTTTTTCTTATCCAGCATACATCCCAAAGAAATGTGGCCAGGTCTTCTCCAATTTTCTAACAAATTGCTGAATTCTCAAGAACGAAATTACTAGGTCAATGACAGTGACTATTTGTATTTAATTTTTTAACCTATTTCTTGATATTATACTATAATTATATCATTGCCCCTCTTTCCTCCTTCAAACCATTCCCTATATACCTCCATAATCTCTTTCAAATTCAAAGCCTTCATTTCATATTACTAGTCACACACATATATGTATATGTACATACATATTAATAGATTATTTCTAAGCTATCATATACAGAATTTGGTTTCACTGAGACATTTTCAAACATAATTTGTTTGTGTTGGTTCTCTTCTCCCAGTTCTCTTACCCATCCTCCTATTTCCCTTGTACTCTTCTACCTACAGTAGCTTCTTTTGTGCTTTCAACTAATATATATTCTATTACTTCTTCCCTTCTCAAGACTTCATTTTCCTTCTTAGAATTCTTTCTTCATGAGTTATTCTTACACACATTAAAATCTAGGCTCCAGATATAAGAGAATTCTGCAACCCTTGTCTTTCTGAATCTGATTTAATATAATTTTCTACTATCGTGTTTTCTGAAAGTTTTGTACTTTTGTTTTACTTAATTTAATAAAAGTCCATTGTACATATATATGTACTACATTTTCATTATGCATCCATAAGTTGGTGAACATCTAAGCTATTTCCACTTCCTGTATATTTTGAATAGAGCAGGTATCAACATGGATGAATATGTGTCTCTGTAGTAGGATATAGAGTTCTTTGAGCATGTGCCCAGTAATTTTAATAATATGATAGTTCTATTTTTGATATTTTGAGAAACCTCCATATTGATTTTCTTAAACAGCTGTACCAATTTTTGTTCCTATCAACAGTGAATACATGTTCATCTTTTCCCACATCTTTGCCAGCATTTTTTTTCAAGTTTTTTTAAATATATTTTTAATATATTAGCTTTCAAAGGAAAGGTATACTATTTTTACAGTGTATAGGCTTATTTGTTTTTCATAACAAAGTTAATTTTTTTTTCTCTCGTAGGCTTTGAGATTTCAGAAAACCAGAAGAGACAGGCTGCAATGACTGTGAGAAAAGCTTCTAAACAGAAAGGTACTTCTGCCTTTACTCCTTTAGACTCACTCATTGTCTGAGACTAGGAAATCATAGGGTATGTGTTTTCATATTTCTTGGCTCTTTTCTGTACTGAGGTTTACTTGGAATAGTTTCTAACTACCCAGGTATCCTTGGTAACAAGTAACAAATGCTCTTGTTTTAGTTATTGGTAGTAAATGGTGTGGGGTAGTCATATCCATGTTATTGGTTACATAAACAAAACAAAATTTAAAAAAAAAACCTTTTTTTGCTTCAAAAGAAAAGTTTATGAATAGTTTAGAGAGAGGCAGGCAATAATGCATGTATATAATTTATTTAATAAGCTTACCTAATCAGTAGCCCCAAACCAAAGTTAAGAGCCTCAAATTGAACAAGATAGTCTTTCTTTGAGGCATACAGTTTGAAAAACTAAAATACAAATAGAATCAGATTAAATATAGAATACTTTTTTTCTTTTTCATGAACCAGAACAAAACTAAAGTGCTCAGGTGAGCTAAAAAGAACTACCTTCCACTTACTAGAGTATCTACTTAGTATCAAGTTTCTTAATTTCTTTCATTTCATCTTTATAGTAACCCAAAGAAAATGGCACTATTAGCCCCTGTTCCAAGTTAAGAAACTGAAAACATTCAAGGTAAAGTGATTTTTAACCTAAGTCATCTTGATTCTGAGACCACCGCTCTCCCCTCTTCATCTCAGGTCCTGATGATGATGATATCTCTTGTTTGAAAGAGCTCATTTTATTGTCTCATCTCAATTACTAGAAGCTTTTTTTTTTTTTTTTTTTTTTTTTTTACTACTGACAGTATTTTCACTGTCCCTGGGAATGGATAATCTTAATAAGACATCACTTTCCCTGGTCCTTTTCTTCTTCTCTCTCATTAGCTCTTTGATTCTGAATGAATTCTAAAAATGATAAAGGGAAAACTGATAAGATATCTCCAATGCAAATGTCATTGGATAAATTGTTCTATATTCCCTTCCCATGCTATTTGTGACATGAGGCATTATCAACCATCTATTTTTCTGAGGGAAGGGTTATCTGTCTGATAGAAAGGCTTTTTCACTTTTTTTTTTTTTTTTTTTTTACTTTCTGCTCTCTTGATTTTCATAATTTATATATAAACTTCTGGGGTTAAATGATATTTCTTGATACATCAACCTAATTGAGTTTATCAGTACAAAAGATGTCAGAATCATAAATTCAGACTCCATCTTCATAGGCTTTAGAGGCAGTTGAAAAATAAGATTAATACTCTAGAATAAAACAGTCTTGAATAAAAAGAATAAAGTTGAAGCAATTAATTTTTCTAATTTCAACACAAATTACATAATTACATTAACTGAGGCACTACAGATAGTTTAATGTAAAAGAATTCAGAAATAGACCTACACAAATATATGTATGTCTTTCCTTTGACAGACAGAAAACAATTCAGCAAAGAAAGTGCAATCTTTCCAACAAACAGTTCTGAATTAAATTTCCATATACAAATTAGAACTTTGATATGAGCCCACACCTTGTGTAATGATTAAGTATTCCCTGTGGAATTAAATACAAAACTATAGAGCCCTAAGAAAAAGTATTAAAAATATCTTTAGGGTCTAAAGTAAAACAAAGGAGTTCGTAAATTTGACATTTACATAAAAAGCTTGAAACAGAAAATGAAAAATAAAACTTGATAAAGCAGACTTCCTTTGTATTTATTTATTTATTATTTTTTTAGCATCTGATGCCCTCATATTTCTGGCATTTGCTACCTTTCAAAAATGGCTACAGAGCCTGACTTCCTATGAAAGTGCCAATGGCTAGTGTTGGCTTTTCATAATTACTAATGTCAGGGTAGTTGGATTGAAGCCTGGAATCCTCCATTAATGTGAGAAGGCCTATAACCTTAGTATCATTGGAACTGTGCCCCTTGAAAGGTCGCAAATAGATTAAACCTTTTCTTTATGTCTATGAATCATGTCTTCTGGTGATGAATTTTCTTTCTGTTTCAACTACTAATGTCATTGTCATCCCAAAGCAAAGTACTGAATCACTTGTGCCTTAAGCGTTATGAAAAGTCCTGAAGTCAATAGTTCTTAACCATATTATTTTGACGCTTTCAGGTAGGGTTGGAGAGGAAGAGAACTAAAGTCTAGAAGTGAGAGGAGTTTGTTAGGTTCTTTGGAGGAACAAGCCCTACATCAGGGATTATGGTCTTTTGGAAAAAACTTCTAACCACAAAATCAACACATGTGGGCTCTAGTTCTCACTTTGATGCTAGCTGAGACCTTAGGTATACTATTTCCCTCTGGTCCTTGGTCTTCTTGTCTGTCAAACAAGTGACGACAATATATGTTTTTGTTTGGTTGGTTTTTGGTGATAACTGATAAGATGGAGAAAGATGTGGTGTTATAGAAATAGAGATGCCTGTGCAAATATGACAGGGAAAGAAATATTTGCCACACAAGTTGTTTATACTTTGAAATGCTTGAGACACAATGTACCTCAGAGTATATATATATATATATATATATATATATATATATATATATATAATATATATATTTGAATTTTGAAATATTTGCATAGACTTGTTCTTGATTGAACAGCCTTAACATGGAAATCTTAAAAGATCCAAAACGTGAAAATTTCTGACTGCTAGCAAGTTTGGGATTTCAGGATATTTCAGATTTGAGGGTTAGGGATATTCAATCTGTTACAGGTAAAACTCGCCAAACTAGTGTACTATGAAGGATCACTGGCTGGTTAGTTTGAGAAGTCACCCATTTCATACTTAATTTATACTCTTTCCTTTTGATCTCCAACTTGTTCTAGGTGTCAACTCGGCCCGCTCAGTTCCTCCTTCCTACCCACCACCACAGGACCCGTTAAACCAGGGCCAGTACCTGGTCCCCGATGGCATCGCTCAGTCTCAAGTCTTTGAGTTCACTGAACCAAAACGCAGCCAGTCACCATTCTGGCAAAACTTCAGTAGGTTAACCCCCTTCAAAAAATAGTACCTATAGGAAGGCAGATAATTTTAAAATAAATAAAACTATATTTATAGATGGACTTTTTTTTGGAGAAGCACTGTTGAAAATTTATGTGTGTGTGAGTGTGTGAGTGTGTGTGTGTGTGTGTGAGAGTGTGTGCCTGTGTGTGTGTGCGCATGCGCACACACACACAGGCACACACACATGGACCTTTAAGTATACATGTGTGTGTGTGGGCATGTGTGCACATATGCATGCACATGCATGTACACATACATACATATACACACACGGAGAAGGACCACAACTATTTACTGTTGTTTTAGGTAATTGAAATCTATAGTTGGTAAGAAGTACCACTGACTTTCAAACATGTGATCACTTCTTTAAATTTTTAGTTCTTAACCTTGTTCCCCTCCCTTTCCTTCAGAAACTGAATCTCTCTTTGTTCTTTTTCCTGTTAAGATAACCTATTCACTCCTCTGGTTCACTGACCTGTCATTATTCCCACAGAGTATTTGCATTGTTTTATTTGCCTTTCCTGATAATACTGATGTTGATAACTTTTGAATTTAATTTGTGTGGTGGGTTTGGAATTTCATTTCTCTCTTTGTCATTTTTCACTGAGAAGGGGAGGATTCCCATCTCCTGTCCTTCATGCGACCATCTGCAAATGTTCCTGTAGCCCTGCGGTTATACCAACAGCCTTTTCACAGCACCCTGTGTCCACAGTTGTGCCAGTCTAGACATGCTCTGTTGTGCCCTGTGACTTATCTGCTTGGTATTTCTATTGCTTTCACTGTTTTAGGTATTGTGGAAGGATATAAAACCAAACAGAAACAAAGGAATGAAAGAATGGAATGAGAATTTTGTTAAGGGGGATTTTTCTATTTAGGTGATTTCTTCTAGCATTGAGGATTCCCATGTAAAAACACTGCTGAATCACTGACGGTTTTTATCTAAGAGTTAGTTTTTGCCCATTAATTTATTTTTCAAGCCCTTTTTATTATGAGTCTCCTCTTTAGCCTGTGTCTTCTTTAGGCAAATGGTTTAGCTAAATTAGAAGCAAAGAAATTGAGACTCTGCCTCTCATGGAAGAGATTTATCTCCACCCTACAACCCATAGCTAGTGGGTAGGTGTCAAGTAGGGCTCTCTATATAGCAGTCACTTCGGTGTTCCAATCATCCCCATTTCCATTTTCAGATTCGTAAGGCATCACTGTTAGAAGTTTATGAAGGGGTTCAAGACAAAACCTGCTTGGCCAAGATCATTAGATACCTTCAGATCAATGTGAAGAGAGTCCACGATTGACAGTAACACCATACAGGGAAACATAAGGACCATCAGGGAAAGAGACAGGCTTGATTTAATATAACATACCTGTAATTTCTACCAACAAAATTATAAGAGCCACCTTCACGTATTAGCAGATTGCATGGATAATCGTCTCTGTCTCCTTCCTTGCCCTTACTTTCTTTCTGGTAGAGGATTGTGAGTGTTGGCATAGTTAGAGCCATTCTGGCACTCAAAGTAGGCGTTGTTCCTGACATACTCCCATCCCAGGACAACTGAGTCAATTGTCAGAGAAGCCTAGGGCTACTTTTACATCTAAGGGGGAAAGATCTGAGACAGAACACTGAAGTTAATTCTTGGCATGCTTTCCATTTGACCAGAACTTTCCCCACAAATATCAGAATCCCCACGAGTACAGAAGTATTTATTCTTTGTCATTTAGCCCCTTTTATGGCTAGAGCTTTCATAGCGAGGAAAATAGGATATAAAGAAGTGTGAATATCCACTCCATCCAGGAATCTGGAGATTGAGTTTGTTCTGGACCTCACAGGACAAGACCTCATTATGAAAGGACCTAAGCTTATCAAACAGCAGCCACGGCTGTATGAGGTCTTCAGTGAAGCTGGATTGGGTACTTCTTTATGCTTCCAAACCTAGACTAAGCCCTACCCCTGAGAATCTTTCACCTGTGGAAAACAAATTATACGTTGTTGAAGCTTTAATTTAAGTTAGACTTTTTATAGTTCTCAAGGCTAGCTAGCAGAACACCAGAGTTCGGAACTGGCTATCACTGCTCAGCACATGGTAGAACTATTTAAGCCCTTATGGCAAGAAATCTGGTAACTAGCACCTAAATGGCAATGTTCGCCATTGACAAACTGAAATATATTTCACTTCCTATGCAGGCCTCCCTTAGTGTACCTTCTTTACGTAGTTTCTACCCATCTTCACTAGACTTGGCCTTGGCAACTTTCTCTAGGGATTAGGGTCACACCAGGAGGAGTTGCTTTGAAAGGTTGCTAGATAAAATCTTTGATAGTATCTTTGGGCCAGATCCTCTTATTCTCTTCCCTTTTCTGAGTCCAACATTCAAGGCTCCAGGCTCAGGAGTATGATAGTCATCATCCCGTTGATCCATCCAGCCCACTGGCCTTACAACATGTAGTAATTTGTGAAGGCACTACTAATTCAGCTCTTCTTTGATTAGAACGCCCCCAAGCGTGTACCTATGGATCAAAGTAGATCAGTGGCCATTAGCACAAAGGGAAACGCATAAATTACCTGGACTCAGCATCTCAACCTGATGTATCCCCACAGCCATGTTATCCTCTCAAACTCGAATTCTCCTGTTTTCTGCATGGCCCTGGATTCCCCATTCCTTAACTCAATGAAGCCTGAATTTTCCTTCCAAAAGGGTTTTGCGAGTTTTTTTTCTATGAGTTCTACTCTTAGGGAGGTCCTAATATAAAAATCCAATTTTTCTCTCCTTCTCTCATCTTCTTTCTATGTGTATATCTTTAATTGAGCTACTAAGGACAGCAGCAAGAGAGTTCTAACAATTCTAGTATGAAGCCAAATAGTGATATTTTAGTGCTTTGGGGGTGGGGTGGGCTGGGTGAATAGATGGGCAACAGTGATTTTGACTACCCCTGCTGCTCTGCATTTGCCAGTTTATTCTTTTGTTTCTATTATCTGACTGTTTGACCCTGTCAAACAAGTGTCAAAATTGTGTATTTGGAAATGTTTAACAACAACAAAAAAGATGTTGTAATGACATAAAGCCTTATAAAAATATTTATGGAGTTCAATAAAAGAAGTAAAAAGTCTTTCAGGCACAGTTATGCCATTTGTGTTTGTGTGTATGTGTGTGCGCACGCAAGCTCGTGTGTGGCCAATTGCAAAATAAAGGCAATGTGTGTGTGGTGTGAAACTACTTGCTCTAACTCTCTTGGGGTGCTTATGCTGCTGTTTTATTTCCCAAGCATCCCATGGGCTTTTGGGAAACCTTTTCTATCATTTCTGGAAGAGTAGAAGACAATGGAGTCTGAACCTGTAGCCAAGAGTACTTAAAATGTTTTTCTAGATAGGCTGTCTTTCATTTTACCTTCTACTTTGCTAAAAGCCTAATGGCCCATTCCTAACATTGCTCATTTCTCTTGTATCTACAGTTCCAATATCCAACCTGAATATTTGTGACAGCTTCAATGTTACATTTTTAATGTAGTCAAAGGCCATAACACTTAAGATTCTCCCTTTCCAGATTCCTTCTTAAAACTTGTAGACTTATTTCCCTAAAAGTAGACTTTGTAAATGGCCCATGTGTGGGTGAAGTGACCTAATTATTTCTTTTATTATAGGTGGTCAGTGTGCACATATACTTTGCTTCCTGCTACGCCTGCACATGACATGTAATATTGCCTGTCAGAACCCACGTGAATAAGAATGTCTCATACCGTAGCTCCAGAGCAATAGAGTAAAGTCAGCAAGGTTCTTATTTGCCCAAACACTCTAGGCAGTTGTTCAAAAATATCTAGAGTATGAACTGTATCCATCCAGGCCTTGGAAGTGCCCTCCTACACTGAAGCATTTTAAAACATCATAATTAAATTCATTAACCTTTTCCTTGCCCATATCTTAGATCTTCTCATTTATCCCCTTCTGCAGTCACTTTCCTGTCACTTTTACCTAGGTTCTGTCAACTGTCCTCATCCAAATCATCAAGATTTCACCATTCTTTTTATATCTTATTAATTTACAGCTTTCCCGGATTCTGAGAGTAAGTTGTAATTACTTCTTTTAGAGTAAGTGGACATTCTCTGGCCTCAGTCTTCCTAGACTACCTTCTAAGAATATTTGACATGAGAAGACAAATGACAGTGAGTTTATTAACTATATTTGAAAGGAAATAGACAAGTGCTAAAAGTGACTGGGTAAAACTACCTTCTGTGTTTTATTTGCCTGACCTCTACTTCCACCTCCTCTGAAACTGAGTTAAGATTTCTTTTGTCTTGGATTTTTGGTGGGGTGAGGGAAGCTAAAAACACAGAATAAACTGATACCAACAAGTATATGAATGTCATTCTGTGCAGTCATTACTAGACCTATCTTTTCAATTTTCTAATTACAGCCTCAACAACAAACAAAATCAATTGTAGTTACAGATCACTTTTGTCTCCAGAACCAAAGGCAAATAGCCAGAGAACCAAGATTTCCAATGTAGTCAATGTTTCAGTCACTTAAGCCACCACATTGCTTCTTAGCCTACTGGCTTTTGGACCAATCGGGATTTCCTTATTCATATTCACCTATTTCTCCTGATTCCAGAGCCATCTTCATGATAAGACTATGGGACTTTTGAAGTCAGTCTTGCTGGCCCAGGATTTTCCTTGCAAATCCCAAGGCTACAAAGTGGGGGTATCCTGTATCATGCTTCTCAAAGCCCTGTCAACTAAAGAATAATATTTATACCTGGCTATATGAATACTAGCCAAATTTATTGATAACACAATTAATCATGGACTTAGAAGCAAACTTTTCTGGTTTTACATCATAATTATCTCTTCGTTGTGCCCTTTTCCAGTAGACTGTTAGTGTCATACACATAATTTTTTCTCATCTAGTTATTGAGAAAGGGGAAAGAGGAATTGGAACAGAGTAGCCCTTGTAGTCTTCAGATACTACTGTTACTTTGATTCTACTCCAAAAATTAGAGGCCTCCAACAATGTGTCAATTAAGGTAAGTTTCTGTGGCAGGCTACATCTGTCTCCACAGTAGCTATGGATCTCTCCAGTCCTGTCAGAAAGCCGCATTACAGTCAATACACCTATCCTAAGTACACATTCTGGGATAGGGCTTGGTAAGCTGCTTGGTAAGGATAATAAAATAATATTGAAGTGACTGAACTATCTCGGTCCCACAGATCATTCAGGGCTTAAAGTTAACATGTAATGATGGACTAGGATTGTGGTGAATGAGAGTCTTAAGGTCTTCATAGAAAAAACAATAGTGAAAAAAAAAACCCTCTTTATCCATCAGGATCATTTTGGTTGTAGTGTAGTAACTGATAATCCTAAAAATATCAGTGGTATAACATACAGGAGTTTATTTCTTCATACAAATTCTGCCATAGGTTCAGGTGTCTTCACAGGGAAACTGAGCTACTTCCTCTTTATTGTAGCTCCATCTCATCACATGCTTTCAGAATATCCACAGCAAGAGAAACCTGAGTGTTTCTCAGCCCACTAACAAATTCTGTACTTCTTTCAGTCACAGAGCAAAGGGACAAAAATGATCACATGGATCATACATGTGATTAGGGCAGCAGATATAATATAGATATTAATAGTGATTAGAAACATATACCAAGCATCTTCCATTTTTCTGCCCTTCCTCTAAGCCACAGCCATCTGCAAACTCACAAGCCTATTTCTAGTATCACAGCCCAGGAGCCTTGTTTTTTATTCCCAGTCTTTCCGTACTAACTGATTTCTTTCTTTTAATTAATTTATTTATTCCCTTTACATCCCAAGTATAGCTCCCTCCCTCCCTCCTCCACTCCCAGTGTCACCCTCCCTCTCTCTTCCCCCTAACACCTGTTCCTCAAAGAAGAGGT